GCATGTTGGATCAGGTGGACAAAACGGGACACTACAGACGGACGAGAAGACGCGAAGGCATGGCGGAGACTAAGGTGCTAGAGAGAAGCTCGTTTCTCCCTTGCCCACTCCTTGCTGGACATGTGTTTGAACCAGGGTGCCACAAGTTTACCGTTCTGCCTTGTACCTGTCAACAACAGTAACAATTAATTTAGGGAAGAAGCTCCTGAATAGTAAAATATGCATACCCACAAATATCTTGTAACCATAATATTCACAAAATTAACTAATACACCATCTGTAAAGAAACATAAGAGCGTTTAGATCATTACTTTAGTGATCTAAACGCTCTTATATTTTTTTACGGAGGGAGTACCGTGTACAATGTAGTACTGGGGATATTTTGTTAGCAATGTTTATGAAAATAGCATATGTAGAAATGCTCGTTTTTTTATAGTGCATACATGTAAAGTTCCACTCTTTAATTAGCATATTTAAGGCTTCGTCCAGACTTGGATCAGCTGAAGCGCAAGGTTTGTTTGCTATGCATTTTCTAAATGAGTGTTAGCCATCTACTACTATATCTGAATAGGAGCCCCTGCAGCCTCAGTGAGCCGCATCATCTGAATTGTTCTAGCCGTTGATGCAATATAGCCCAGCCATCTGCAGCCGTCTGGTCTCTTCTCATCCTTGTGTTTCCTCTCTTCTGCTCCACACATACGATCCCACGGTCACCGAAGCGAGCGGCTGCTTCCTCTTCTGCCTCTCGTAGCTGACGAGTCAAGAAATTTCCTCTTCCCACGGGTTATTACTCCTCGACTCTCCTCTTTCGTGAGGCTGCATCTTTCTCGAACCCCCATCTGTCTCCCTGTGTCGCTCACGCTGCCGGCTACCTCGCGGCGCACCTGCCTTCGCTCTCACCTCCTTCTGCCGCCCACATGCGCCTAGCCATGTAATCTAGTTAAAAATGAGGAGAAAAAAATGTAGGGGATTTGTGGCTCTATGCATTTTTCTCATACCTCAGAACTTCGCAATCTTAAAATGTCTTCTTCAAATATAATCTGTGCATCTACTCATCTGGCTTAACTGTCAGGCGGCCCCTAAAACATCTACACCACCTGCTGCAAGGACTAAGAAATTGGGTGGCCAGAAGAAATCATTGGAAACGGCTGGTTCAGCACCACCACCAACCAGGTTTCATAATTCACGTCATCCCACATGTTCCGTTTTATTATCTGATTCTGAATGTATTATAGCTTACGGAGTAGTTGCATTTTATGGATAACCCCAATCTGATTTCCTTTCTGTTTCTAGCAAAAGACAAAAGACAGCTGGAGCCTTCCAGGAACAAAGCATCGATCAACTTAATGATGTCACAGCTGTTAGTGGTGTTAATCTTAGGGTACGAATCTTCCTGGTTGATGTTTGGTTTCTAATACTACTTGTGTGTCTTGTTTATATTTTATTAGTACTTTTTTACTTCAATAGGAAGAAGAGGAGCAACTGCTCTCTGCCCCCAAGGAAGAGAGCCCAGCCACAGAAGCAGCACGGAGAATCGTACAGGAGGAGGAAGAAAACCTCTTTCTGCAGAGGGGCCCTCTTCTGAAGAAATTGGCAGAAATCGGTTAATCCCTTTGAACTTATATTGACACCATAAAACTGTATTTACATACACCATAAATATTTAAAGCAACACTGGCTGATGACATGTTTTTGGCAGTTCTTAAATCTAACTTGAAGAACGCTGGCGCTGATGTTGGACGTTGTTTATCAATGGTAAGTTGTTCATAGGACCGCCCGCCAGAATTTTGTGGCACTATGTCTAAAGCTTAACTCTTACTTAGTGTGTGGAGGAGCGACTGCGAAGATTCATAAGTACTCTCATAAGAGTTTCAAAGCAGGTTAGTCATTTCATATCATTCAGTTATCGGGCTGTGGTATAGTTGGGTATCGTGAGATACTAACCATGCTTGTCTTGTTGCTAGAGAACCGATGCAGAAAAGACTGGTCATCGACTAGTTATTACTTCAGATGTCGGCCGTCAAATTTTGCAGATGAACCAGAAAGCTAAAGAAGAATGGGACAAAAAGCAAGCAGAAACTGACAAGAACAAGAAACAGACTGAGGTGCTACATAATCTCCATTTTACGCATATTCAATTTGGATGACGGGCTTGTTCCTTTAAATTATCATGCCATTAGATGATTACTTGCATGGTGTCCGAAGTTAAGGATTAAGTGTTTTAAACAAGCACCTTTTGTTTATCCATGCGTTTCTGGAATTTATAGGCATGTTGGTTAATTCTAAATCCTCGAGAGGCTGTCAGTTCTAACTTGTGTCTTGATAAAAAAATTCCAAGGAGAAAATAAATATGAGTCGGATCAATCTAGCTGTTCTATATTGGATTACAATTTCGGTATCTTTATCGTACTGATGATGCTCTAAACTGAACAAGAGTGTTGGGTAATAAGTTTGCCCCTGGTTTCGTACTAGAAGATGTATGCACTCATTTATATAGCAAAATCTCATGGAAGTGTGTGTTGGCGAGTTGCATGCAGGATGGGGGCAGTGGTGGCGCAGAATTGGAGAAAGAAAAAGAGGAAAGCCGTCCAAAGAATGCGAAGGTAAGTACTATCTGATGTGATCTCTCTAGTTTGACATCTCTTCTTTTGCTGATATTCTTAGATCTCTTGCAGCCCAACAAAGAAGAAGACGATAAAATGAGAACAACAGCTGCAAATGTCGCTGCTCGGCAGGCAGTTGGAGGAAGTGATATGTTTTCAAAGTGGCAGCTGATGGCCGAACAAGCTAAGCAGAAGCGGGCACCAGCTCCAAGACCATCCCATGTATCTGGAAAAGGGTCTGCAGAACGCAGTGAGGCTTCAAAGAGGAGCCATCTTGCGGCATTCGGAACTGGTAAAGAGGCATTCTGGCATCATTTTCCCCGGCACTCTCTATTTGTGTTCTAAACTCAGGGCACACATCATACTGTCCATTTCAGGAGGCACGGAAAGGCAAGGCAAGGGTTCATTTGCGAATCGCCACTCGCATGGGCCTCAGCGAACTGTTTCCGTGAAGGATGTAATTTCCGTCCTGGAGAGGGAGCCTCAGATGACGAAATCGCGGCTGATCTATCGGCTGTATGAGCGATTGCCTGGAGAGTCCACAGATTAGGCTAAATTAGCCATTTATTTAGCAACCTGTAGTGTGTAAATGATGTGTGGCGGTGGCAAGGTAAGTTGACGACAGTGCCGGCTAGTTGACATTACAGATCTCTTACAGATAAGATGGTGCATAGCCACCAAAATTGGTCATATAAAACCCCAGTCTAAAAAGGGAGTGTTGTGATAGGAATAAGATCATCCAGTGCCTGTCGATGCACCTGACCTGCTTTCATCTGTTGTGTTCTGATGCAATGTCTCAGTTATACTCCCTCCGTTCGGAATTACTTGTCATAAAAATGGATGTATCTACAACTAAAATGTATCTAGATACATTCATTTCTTGGACGAGTAATTCCGAACGGAGGGAGCACTACTATGATAAATCTCCTCCCCTGGTTCCCATAGTTTGTTTGTACAAACTCAAGCTTAAATAACACTGGTCGAATCAGAGCCAGGGACAAACTGAAAAGGAAAATAAAGGGCCGCTGCTGTGGTCTAAAAGAACTCGAAGTTGAGGAACTTGCCGCCGGACTTCACCTCGGCGCCGATCACCGTCTTGCTCGCCGGAGGCTGCTGGGTCGCCCCGCACTTGGCCGGCGGCTCGGCCTCGACGTGCTTGGGCACCTCGGGAGGCGTGCTGCACCTGATGAGCGCCCAGTTGACGCCCTCGAAGAAGGGGTGCTGGTTGATCTCGGCGGCGCCCCGCTTGACGCCGAGCCGCTGCTGCGGCTCCTTGACCAGCAGGCCCCTGACGAGGTCCCTGGCGGCGTAGCTCGCCGACGGCGACTCCGGGAAGCGCAGCTGCTGGCCGACGACGTTGAAGAGCGTGGCGCGGTTGCCCGACCCCTTGAAGGGCGTCCGGCCGTAGAGCAGCTCGTGCAGGAAGACGCCCAAGGTCCACCAGTCGACGGCGCTGCCGTGGCCCTCGCCCTTGATGATCTCCGGGGCCAGGTACTCGTGCGTCCCCACGAACGACATGTCGACATCGACCGCGCCGCCGTCGGCTCCGCCTCCAGCTCCGGCACGCCCTGCCCCGGCTCGGAACCCTGCCGCCGCCTCCTGCTCCTCTGGCCGAACAGCCCGGGCATGAAGCACGCGGGCCGGACGCAGGCCGCGGAGGGCTCCATGCAGGCGGAGGGCCGCGCGCAGAAGGCGCCGCCTGCTCTCCTGGGGTCGGAGTCGCACGCCGGCGCCCTGACGAGCGCCGGCGACACCGCGCACTGCTGCAGCGACAGGTCGAAGTCGGAGAGCATGATGTGGCCGTCGTCGCGCACCAGCACGTTCTCCGGCTTCAGGTCCCGGTACACCACCCCCAGCATGTGCAGGTACTCCAGAGCCAGGAGCACCTCCGCAGCATAAAACCTGCCCAGAACACGCACTGATCACGTCAGCACTTCATCCGGAAGAAATAATCCAGTGTGGCTTAATGGCAATATGATCAGTACTAGCAGCGGTAATAATTACGTACTTTTAACAGACGATGGTGCTAGTATTGTAACTGTGAATTGAAACAAAATTGAGCATGCTGGGTTGTTTGCCACGCTGCTCATGCCGTAACTGTACTACATGCACCGATGTGTCCTGGTCCGTGGAGATCGCAGTGCAGTACCGTGTAAGAATCAGGGATCGTATGTTCATAAATACTGTACTGTTTTCAGCAGAGAAAGAAAATAATTACCCCACCGGGTACTGTACTCCACTCCTGGTTGTTGGCCTGGTGGCCGACTTTTCTCGTGTACCATTTCTTGATTTTATTTTCACAAAAACCCGATTAATATTGTAAAAATAAAATAAAGTAAAGCAAACATGGAGTATTAGGGTGGTAAAACTACACCGAATTCCAAAATTAAAAGAGCACTAGAGAAGATGGATGTTTACCGGAACACGGATGATTACCTCGCCGCGTACTCGGAGAAGTGTTTCCGGGGCTGGCGCTGCCGCAGCGCGTGCAGGCTGCCGCAGCGCGTGCAGGTCGCCGCCGGGGCAGAACTCCATGACCAGGCACGAGAAGCGGTCGGTCTCGAAGTGCGTGTACAGGGTGGGGAGGAAGGGGTGGTCCAGGAGCTGCAGGATCTCCCTCTCCGTCCGCGCCCTGCTCAGCTTCTTCCTGCTCGCCAGCGACGCCTTGTCCATCACCTTCATCGCGAAGTGGCACCTCGTCCCGCTCAGCTCCGACAGGTACACGCTGCCGATGTCGCCGCACCCTAGCCGCCTCAGCAGCCTGAAGTGGCTCATCCCGAGCGCGCCGCCCCGGGCCCGGACGGCGAGGATCGCCCGCCACCGAGGGTCGTTGCCCTTGTGAGGCTTGCTGGCGGCTCCCGTGATGTTGTTGCTGCAGCCGCTGTCGTCGCTGCCGTCGCTCGCTTGGCTCGCGCTGGTCTTTATGCTCTCCATTGAGCTGCCTCGGAAGCTGCCCTTTGCGCTGTCTTGCGTCCTCCCGGCGGTCACCACGGGTTCACTGGCAATGGATCCACTTCTGCTTGTGCTTGTGAGGCTGTTCCTGATGCCTGTGGCGGCGACGGCACCGGCGCTGTCACTGCCGCTATGGGGACTGCCATTGCCACTCGGAGGGAGGGATGCACCCCACACGCGATCCTTCTCCGACGACGACTGAGTTGAGGGCACGGCCTCGCCAGGAGGCTCTGGAACAGGGGCACCGGGCACCTTCATCTCTTCAACCAAAGCAACCACATCCGTGGCATGGACAGCGATGTCTTCCATGGACGGTCCTTTGGCTGACAGGCCTCGCAGCAAGCACCCCGGTGGCCCGGGCTTCTCGTCAACTGAAACATACAAGGTGCTCATAAGATCCACATCAATTGGCTCCGGCGGGTGGCTCGCCCCGGAGAACGAACTCCGGCCACCCTCATCCGACGATTCCTCGCCCCGGAACCGGAAGCTCTCCCCGCCTTCTGCCGACGGGTCCTTCTCATCCCGCTGCTGTGTGCCCTCCCCTTCCCTAGCTGCATCTATCACTACTGATGCTGGCAACTCTAAATTATTTGGCTGCTGGGCAGTGGTCACTGAAGGGCCCTCTGGCTCGGCAATCTTGTCAACCACCTCCATCAAACCATCACCGGCAATGTGTGGTAGCCCCTGGGCGATTCTGTCCACCAAATGAGGCAATTCTTCAAACAATCGACAGGACTAAAACTCGGGATAATGTTTTTGCCTTCTAATTTTCTTGGCACCAAACAAGGCTCCAGGAGCTGGGAGGCCCGCAATTTCTCTGCACTTGAAATGGCTCCCCCAAGATCCAGACTTCTCCTCCTCCCAGCTAGAGTGCAAATGCAGGAGCCCGAAGCAGTGGAGCACTCCTCCACTCTGCAGATAAACAACAGGAAGCAGCTTAGTGCGCCAAATTGGACATGAATTTGTTAGAGTACACCCCAAACCACCTATTAGGGCCAAGTTTCTTCAACCCTGAGCATCCGGAAGTCCTTCCCCAAAGCAAGCAAGAACCCAAATTCTGACCACGCAATCTACAGCGGAACTAGGCTTGGGACATTTTCCCACATAAATGAAGGCAAGCAAAGAAACGGGACACATACAGACTGGAGGGGAAAAGGGGGGGAAAACACACCTTAAATAAACAACTAAAATGGAGATCCCGGGGCGGCTCGGCTTGAGCTCGGGTTCTTGTTTGGCTCTCCCCGCCACTCTCTGCTGCTAGTCCCGAGCCGCGTCGCTGATGCGAGGAGAGCAAGGAAAAACTGGAAAGGGTGGACGCGTCGAAGTGGCACGGAAAACGGAAAACTGCAATTGCAATCACCCCATCAGTCCAACAATAACCGGCTATAGCCTTGCTATCACTGATTTGAAGGACCATCGTTATTTGACATAGCCCGCTATTAAAACAATGCATAGGTATGAAATTGAACGTGAAGGATATCCTTTTTATCATTAAGTCAATACAAAATACATAGTTCAAAAAAGCGCAGGCGTGCTTAAGGGTTGAGCGTTGGCATAACGCCTTGCTTTTTTTTTTTTGACTAGAAACTGTAGGGTAAAACTAAAACCCCACAGCATATCAAAAGCTTTATTAAAAGGAGCACACAAATACAAAGGGAGGATTACAAGGGGTAATCAAACTAACCTAAAGAGAAAAGAAACAGAAACAGAAGATTACAAAACAAGGGCCTCAAGGAGGCAGAAAAAAAACCCATCTCAGGAGCTCATCCTTGTAGGCAGCTTGCACTCTATATTGCATCAAACTGATATCATGAATGAAAGCACATCTCCATTTATTAAACCTAGCTCTCTCATGCCTGAAGACTTTAGCATTCCTGATGATCCATATATTCCAGCATGCAATAAGAACCACTTCAGTGAAGAAGGGCTTCCCAAAGCTTCTTCTAGCATTGATAACCAAATCAGCCATGGAGTCACCAGATGACCAATCAACTTGCAAATAATTCCATACTCTGATACTGAAGTTGCAATTGAAAAACAAATGATCTCTGGTTTCCCTAGCCTGTAAAGGGCAAAGAACACAATTTACCCCATCATCCAGATGGCATTGCATCCTCTCCACCATGTCCTTTGTGTTTAATCTGTCCATAATGAGCATCCAAGCAAAAACCTTGATTTTCATTGTACAAGAGGACTTCCAAATCCAAGAGGTCAAAGGGTTAAAGCACTCTGATGCAAAAGTATGGGAGTAAAACATCTTTGGTTTATATCCCTTGGAAGTGCCATGCCAAAGCCAGACATCCTTGGACCCATGTGCTCTATTGTGTCCTTCCATCATAGACTGTAGAATGGTCAGGTCATCAAAAGCTTGGGCAGACAAAGGAAGATGGAAGTGCTCAAACACGTCTTGTGAGTCAAAGAACTCTTTAACAGTGATCCAAGGGTCCTTAGCATATGAAAAGAGCCTGCGGAATCTGCATTGAAGAGTAGAAACCTGTTGATGAAGCTGCCAGTTGTCTGACCACATGAGGGCAGTGTCTCCCTCATTTATCTGCACCCAAGAGCACTCTCTGAAGCTTTGCAGGATCTTACACATATCTTTCCACCAGAAAGAGCCACAATCAGAAGTTCCCTGGGACACCCTGCCATGATAGTAAGAGTCCCAGATTAAAGACACCCAGGGAAGATCCTTCTTATTGAGAAAGTTATTTGCATGTTTGAGCAAAAGAGCTACATTCTGAACACCAAGGCTAAGAATACCAAGACCTTCCTTGTTTTTGGCCTGCAAATAAGATCCCAAGCAGCAAGGGAAGGAGCAGGCTCACCCCTATGTTTCCTCCAGAGGCATTGCCTCTGAATTCTTTCCAATTGTTTCAAAATTCCAGCAGGAATAGCCAAACTGCAAAGGAAAAAAATGGGCATAGAAGACAAGGCAGAGTTCAAAAACTGTAATCTTTCTCCTTGATTTAAAAAAGAGGAGCTAGCTGTCATTCTTCTCTCCATCCAGTCCACTAATGGCATAAAATCAACCATTCTTGGCCTTGTAGTTCCCGCAGGCAGCCCAAGATAAGTAAAGGGCATTTTTTCCAATCTGACACCCAAAAGCAGCAGCTAATTCAGCCATCAGAGCAGAGTCCACATTGATTGGTATAATAAAGGATTTGTGATAGTTCACATCAAGACCAGTGGACACAGAGGAAACCTGCAGCATGTCCTTCAAAGCAACAAGTTGATCCTTGTCAGCAGGAAAAATAATCAGTGTGTCATCAGCATACTGAATCACATGGTAGTCTTGGTCATGACAAGGTATGGGCAGGTGAAGGATGCCTCTTCTAAACATGTCATTAATGACAATCTGCAAAAGATTAGCAGCTAGGACAAAAAGAAGGGGGGAGACAGGATCCCCCTGTCTAACTCCCTTTTTGCAGATGAACTTCCTACTAGGAACTCCATTAAGCAAAACAGTTGAGGTACCTGTGGACAATAGCTGCTTCATCCAAAAAATCCACTTCTCATTGAAACCCTTATATCTCAAAATTTGAACTATAGCCTCATGCTCTAGGAAATCAAAAGCCTTCTCAAAATCTAGTTTAAGTATTACAATTGGTCTCTTAGACTGATGACACTGGTGCAAATACTCAAAAGTCCATCCAATGTAGTCCTGAATTGTTCTGCTTTTTTTGAAACCATACTGCTTCTTGTGAACACACTGCATAATCACCTCTTGAAACCTATTAGCTACCATCTTAGATAGAAATTTAAGACCCATTCCAGTTAAGGAGATAGGTCTAAAATCTCCCACCTCTTCAGGTGAGAGTTTTTTAGGCACCAGAGTGATATATGAGTCATTAATATTTTCCAGCTTAGCAGAGCCATCAAAGAAAGCCTGGGCCAACTCATAAAAATCCTTAGAAATTATGTGCCAGCACTTCTTAAAGAACAAACCATTAAACCCATCAGGACCTAGGGCTTTATCCACAGGCATATGCTTGACAACATTATCCATTTCCTCCTCAAAAGGCTTAGTTAGGATATCTAAACCCTCCACTGGAGTAATGATGGAGGAGAGGTCAAAACCCATGACAATTCCCCTGGAAGAACCCATTCTATTTTTAAAACAATTCCAGATAATACCCTCCATTTGTGAATGGTCAGGGACCACAGTCCCAGCAGACAACTTTAAACTGGCAATGGAATTCCTTCTGTGTCTCTCAGTAGCCATAGCATGAAAAAACTTTATACTCTCACCACCCACTTTAATGTACCTGATAGTACATCTTTTCTTCCAATAAAGAAACTGGAGGTGAAGCAACTTCTCTACATGGACCTTAACCACTTTTTCTGAAATTGGATTCATGTCTATAGAGTGGGCTGTATTCCTCAAGCTCATCCAAGAGCAGAATAACATTATTACATTTACAGACCAGGGTTTTCAGTTTGGAAATGTTCTTTTGCCACCTCTTAAGACACATTCTCAAGGGCTTAAATTTATCAGCTATCCTAGCAGTGATATGTCCCTTCCTGGATTGTTTTTGCCATGCAGAATCAACACAATCCATAAAACCATCTAACTGAAGCCAATAATTCTCGAACCTAAAGAGGTTAGACTTGGGAATGGAAGTTTTAATGGTAACCACACAAGGCACATGATCAGAAGCAATTTTGGCAAGAGGTAGCACCTTAGTCACAGGATAGTCAGATATCCAATCAACAGAGGTGAAAAACCAGTCCAGCTGCTGAAGAAGGGGAATATCCTGCATGTTTGACCAAGTGTAAGATCTACCTTTGATAGGTAACTCCAAGAGGCCCAAGTGCCCAATTATTTCATTGAAGATGAACATGTCATTCAAATCACAACCAGGTAAGTTTCTATTATCCAAGGATCTCAAAAAATTAAAATCCCCTAGCAGCAACCAATTTTCATCCATGGGAATATTCAGGTGATACAACCAGTTGACAAAAGTATCCCTGGCTTCCCCCTGGCAAGGGCCATAAACAACCACTAAAGTCCATCTCTCATTGTTTTCCTGGAAACAAACACAATCACCACTGCAAATTGCTAGACTTCCAATGAAGTCCCATCAAAGACAGAGGAGTTCCAAACAACAAGAATTCCACCAGAGGCCCCCAAGGAAGGTGAGAAGGCAAAACTGTCAAATCTCTTAGGACAGAAACTTTTAATTGCTCTGGAATCAAATGAGGTGCATTTAGTTTCCTGTAAGGAAGCAATAACACAGTGACTTTCATCAATTTTTTGTCTAACAGCTCTTTGTCTATTCTCAGAATTTAAACCCCTGACATTCTAGCACAAAACATTCCAGCCTCTACATTGGGTACTCATTAATAAAGATCTTTAACAGGTCCACAAACCATATGACACACAATGCCACATGTCCAAAATGCACAGATAAGTCTGAACCAACATTATTACATTGCATAGAGCTAGAATATAAAAACCAAAAGCAGAGAGCAAATTTAGGGGCTTGCAAAACCCAACATAAGATAAGCACACTATGCATGAGTGGCAGCATTTGCAGCATCAACAGGATCCACCATAAGTGCATCCACAGTGAGAAGCGTTGCATCAATTTCCAGCTCCTTCCCGATTGCCTGCAGGTGACTTATGGGAGTAGGTGGAGGAACATCTGCATGTG